AGGGAACAAAACAGTCGAAGGAGCACTAAGAATCGACGACCCCAGACTAGTTGCTTACTATTATTGAGGATTCCTCTTGTAGAGGGACATGCCCGACTTAATCCCAGTAGGCCTCCGAGCTTGATGAACGTTCTGACATTGTCTTCTGGGGTGCCGTCGGGCTGGAACTGGTCTGGAAAGGGGCGTGCCCTCCTACCTCTGTCAGTGTCTGGCCGTCCTTGGCCAAGCTCCGAGCACCATTGTGGTGCGCAACTGGGTCATCATCGGTGGGCAAAGGGGAAGCAACAACGTACGGTTTCCTGTCGAAGCGAAGCTGTCACCATCAAAAGCGCTGACGCTACACGGGCACCTGAAACCCAAATGGATATGAGTACTACATGGCCACTCCGGGTGGAAAGGAAGAGAAAGAGGAACATAAATACAGCAGGTAGGGGAAGAAAGGACAGGAGAAAGGGGGCACACGATAGGAGGAAGGGGAGAGAGAGGACGACAGGATAGGAGGAGAAAAGAGGCAGAGAGAGATAGGAAAAAAAATGAATTCTGATAACAGAAAGAGAAAGGAGGAGCCTGTGGAGGAGAGAAAGAGGACAGGATAAGAGGAAGGGAAGGAGAGGAGCAGAGAAGCAGAAAAGAGAAGGAGGCGTGGAGAAAGTGGAGCAAGGGCAGGAGGGGAATAGAGGAAGAGAGGAGAAGAGGCTTGCCTCCCCCCCCCCCGCGGGCTGGGCTGAGAACCCTCGGCTGGGAACCCTTCGTGTCTGGACCGAGGAGCCGCGCGGCCGCGGGTCGGAGGTCAGCGTCTCCGAGGAGGCGCAGCCCCACGGGGGCAGGGGTCGGTCGGATAGCCAGTCCCGACCGATCCTCCTCCTCCTCCTCCTCCTCCTCCTCCTCCTCCTCTACCTCCTCGTCGTCGTCGTCGTCATCACCATCACCATCACCATCACCATCACCATCACCATCACCATCACCATCACCATCACCATCACCATCACCATCACCATCATCATCATCATCATCATCATCATCATCATCATCATCACCATCACCATCATCATCATCATCATCATCATCAGCATCATCATCATCACCATCACCATCACCATCATCATCAGCATCGTCATCGTCATCATCAGCATCATCATCATCATCATCAGCATCATCATCATCATCATCATTATCATCAGTATCATCATCATCATCATCAGCAACAGCATCAGCATCAGCATCAGCATCAGCAGCATCCTCATCCTCATCATCATCATCATCATCATCATCATCCTCATCCTCATGCTCATCATCATCCTCATCATCATTCTCATCCTCATCATCATTGTCATCTTCATCCTCCTCATCATCATCAGCATCATCATCATCATTGTCGTCGTCGTCATCATCATCATCCTCATCATCCTCATCATCCTCATCATCATGCTCATCCTCATCATCATTCTCATCCTCATCCTCATTGTCATCCTCCTCCTCCTCATCATCATCATCATCATTCATCATCAGCAGCATCAGCATCCTCGTCATCAGCAGCATCGTCGTCGTCAGCATCCTCATCCACATCCTCATCCCCATCATCCTCCTGCTCATCGTCCTCCTCATCTCATTATCCTCCTCCTCCTCCTCCTCCTCGTTCTCATCATCATCATCAGTATCATCATTAGCAGCAGCAGCAGCATCATCATCATCAGCATCATCAGAAAGAACCTCCGAATTCCTGTGCTCGGGCGAGGGGGAGGGAGGTGGTGGAGGAGGACGAGGACGAGAAGGAAGAGCAAGAGGAGGAGGAGGAGGAAGAGGAGAAGGAGGAGGAAGAGGAGTTGGAGTGGGAGGGAGCCGAAGGAAAGAGGAAGGGAGAGGGGGGGGTACCCCCTTCTAACACTCCTCCCTCCTCCTCCTCCTCCTCATTCTCCTCCTCATTCTCCTCCTTCTCAATAGCATCAGCATCATCATCATCATCATCATCATCATCATCATCATCAGCATCATCACCATCATCGACAGCGGCATCATCATCAGCATCATCAGCATGGACATCATCAGCAGCATCATCAGCATCATCAGCATCATCATCATCACCATCATCAGCATAATCAGTAGCATCATTATCCTCATCATCACCACCACCATCATCATCATCACATCATCATCAGCCTGATCACCATCCTCATCAGCATCATCATCATCATCATCATCATCATCAGCATCAGCATCAGCATCAGCATTATCATCGGCGCCCTTACTATCGTAATCATCAGTATCATCAGTATCAGCAGTACAATCACTACCATCAGCCGCATCATCATTATCATCAACATCATCATAATCATCAGTATCAGCATCGTCATCATCATCACCATCAACCGTATCATCATCGCTATCAGCATCATCATCAGAACCATCAACATCAGCATCAACGTCATCGTCATCAGCAGCATCAACATCAGCATCATCATCATCAGCAGCATCAGCATCAGCATCAGCACCAGCACGGCATCAGTATCATCGTCATCAATCGCATCATCATAAACTGTATCATCATCATCATCATCATCATCATCATCATCATCATCAGCAGCATCATCATCATCGTGGTGGTCGTCGTCCCTCCTCCTTCTCCACCTCCTCCTACCTCCTAACACCCCCTCCTTCCCCCCGCCTCCTCCTCCTCCTCCTCCTCCTCGTCATCATCATCATCATCAGAATCATCAGCATCAACAGCATCATCATCAGCGTCAGCATCAGCATCAGCCTCATCATCATCATCATCATCATCATCATCATCATCATCATCATCATCATCATCAGTAGTATCACCATCTTCATCCGCATCATCATCCTCATCATCCTCATCATCCTCATCATCCTCATCATCATCACCATTACCATCATTGGCACCATCAGCATTGTCAACATCATCATCAGCATCATCGTTGTCAGCATCATGATCAGCATTCGCATCATCACCACCATCATCACCATCATCATCATCATCACCATCACCATCACCATCACCATCATCATCATCATCATCAGCAGCAGCAGCAGCATCAGCATCAGCATCCTCATCCTCATCCTCATCCTCATCCTCATCCGCATCATCATCATCATCATCATCATCATCATCATCATCATCATCACCGTCGAAATCGTCAGCATCGTCGTCGTCGTCCCTCCTCATTCCCTCCTCCTCCTCCTCCTCCTCTTCCTCCTTCTCGTCCTCCCTGTCATCCTCCTCCCGTTCCTTGGCCGATTCGTAGGGCAGCCAGGCGTCCAGCGTCTCGACCAACAAAAAGTCAGGATTGGGGTTCTCTCATCGTTTTCTCGGCCGCGAATGTGCTGTTTCTCGGGATCGGGGATTCGGGCGTTCGCTGATGGGGGGGGAACGTGGCACACTTCTTTCCAACACCTGGTTGGCCTGCAGTTGCAGTTTGGGGGCCGTTCTGGGTTCCTTAGGGCAGCGTTCTCGGAATCCTTGACCCCCCTTTTTGTTCATGATGCGGTCCCTCGCTGCGGCATGTGTGCTTTGAGGACGAAGATAACTGAGCAGACTGAGCCAAGCTGCCACGGTGGGAAAGTGCTTCTGGCGGCGCGCTGACAGCGGCTGGGACCGAACGCGCACGAGACGTGCCAGGGGCCCCGAGAGAGGGCAGAAGTCCTCAGCCAAAAGTTGCACTCCGGGAAGCTCGCAAGCGGGCAGGCCGCGACTCCTGCACTTGCGCGGTCCCTCACCACGCTGGACGACGGCAGCCGAGACAACTATCCCGGCGAAGGCCCCAGCGCAACTGCGAACATCGCGAGGAAGGTAAGAAGAAGGAGGGGGTCCAGCCGAAGGAATGGGGGCGTGTGAGGCGTGTGCCGACTTGGATGAGAACTGCATGTGGACGCACACGCTGGGGCCAGGTGGACCTCCCTATGGGGCCACGAAGCGTTTCAGGGGTACGCAAAAATTGGTGAGAACCGCATGCGAAACCCCCCTCATGGGGGCTTCGGTGGAGCTCCCAATGGGGCCACGTGTGAGGGGTGTGCAGAAATGGGTGAGGACCGCATGCGATTCTCCCCCTCTGAGAGCTTCGTTGGAGCTCCCTATGGGGCCACGAAGAATTTGAGGAGTGTGCTGGCATGGTAAAAACCACACGCGACCCCCCTGCCCTGGGAGCTTCGAGCCACTCGGGCCTCCTGCGGCCGTTCGGGGTGACTCGGGCACCCCCGGAACGCTCTCGGGGAGGCGCAGCTGCCGGGAGGCATCGCGGCGCTGGAAGCCAACCGAGAACCGAGGAACTGCCCGAAAGTCTCGAACCTCGAACCCCCAATACCGCCGCGACCCTCGAACCTCCCGACCCTGCGGGGGAGCAAGAACAAGACCAATGACACGCCGCCATGGGGAAGCTATCCACGTGCTACTGCTGAATTGAGGGATGCAAAAACGCCCCTACCCTGGGTTACAAGTGCGTGGTCTGTAAACCTCCTGGGAACTCCCAAAGGCCAGAGAGCCGCCAGGACGCCTCGCAAGACGCGCGATGTGCAGGGATCACCCTGTCAGCCCACAGGAGGTTCAGCGCACGGCCCTCGCAAACCAGGGTAGGGGCTCTTTGTTGCGCCCTCGACTGAAGGAGCAGCACGGCAGCACCAGGCTTCTGGGCGAAAGCGACAAGAAGCCACACGCTGATGGGCCCCCAACGGCGGCGTGCCGTTGATGCGGCTTCTCCCTCCCAGCCCGAGCCTCGAACCTCCGACCCTGGGGGGCACGCACTCTCGGCGGTCTGCCGAAGGCGCTGGTGGCCGCCCCGCTTGGGGGCCCCGCGACGTCCACCCGTGTGGTCTCATCGGAGAGGCGCATCGAAGACCTCCGACCGGCAACAGCATGTCGCGACGGTTCTCTCGGCGGCTCTCGGAGGTTCTCGGCGGTCTGGAAGGTCTTCGAACATGTTCTGCGGTTTTGCGGCGATCTTCCTGGACGTTCATCCTCTCCCTCCTCCTGGAAATAAGCGGCCCGCCTTGCTGTCGTTCTTGTTCCACCAGGGAGCCACTGCGAAGCCGCTGAGGGCGGCGGCATCGGCGGACTTGTCGAGGTCGACGAAACCACTGGCCTCCCCTAATGTATTGTTGTTTTGATGCACCCATTAACATATGTTCACATGTGTATGTGTATATATATATATAGAGATGCATCCCTGTATACATAATACATGTACAGGTGTGAATTTCCCAAACATCTCTTGCACTTCGGAGTTCTTACTTCTCTTCTAACAGACTTGGCCTGACGGTCGGTCTGGCGGCTATGTGGCCGCCGTCGCCGCCCCGTCGCCGCCTGTCGCCTGGGCCTAACAATCGGTCTGGCGGCTGAGTGGCAGCCGACGCCGCCTCGTCGGGGCCTCGCCGAATTGCACCCCTTAGATTTCACCACAAGCATTGCACCACATAGATTGCACCGCACATATTGCACAACATTCATTTCACAACGTAGATCGCAACACACAAAATGCGCAGCAGAAACAGTGCCGCATATATTGCACAACCTAAATGGCACACCATATATTGCACCACATAGATCGCACCATATGGATTGCACCATCTAGATCGCACCACCTAGATTGCACTGCGTAGATTGTACCACATCGGCTCCATTACATTGAATGCACAACATAGATCGCACAACCTACAATGCACAACATCTTTTGCATCGCATATATTACACATCGTAGAACGCACAA